TATATATAAAAATGTTATGTACATATGTAGAAACTGCAAGAGTTGTTCATATGATTAGACCAAAGGTCAAAAAAACCACACTATGGCAGGCTAGAGACTCTGGAAGAGCCAATGTTTGAGTTCCCTTTGAAGGCAGGAAAATGCCCAGTGTTTCAGCTTGAAGGAGGTTACACAGAAGTAATTGTCATTAGTCTACTTTTTTGTTCTACTCAAACCTTCACCTGAGTGGATGAGGCCCACACACATCATGGAGGGTATATTAGTCATATTTCTGTTGATGGGACAAAATGCCTGATGGGACAAAATGCCTGACAACTTAAAGAAGGAAATGATTTATTTATGGTTCACTGTTTCAGAGATTTCAGTTCATGGCTGACTGGCTCCAAGGCAGAAGTAGCATGGTGGAAAGACATGGTCAAAGAAAGCCACTCAACTCATGGCAGCCAGATAACAGAGAGCAGGGAAAGAATCAGAAAGGAAGTGACCAGCCACCAATAATAGTCTCCAAAGTCATAACCCTACATGACCTGCCCACCCCCAGAAGTGTACTTTTCTAAACCTTCTGGAATTTCTTAAACCAATCAAGTTGACAAGATTAATCATCACATTTCTGCTTTACTCAGTCTACCGATTTAAATGTAATCTAATCAAAGAACACCCTCACCATCAGAACAGTGTTTAACCAAACATTGAGGTACTTCATGGGCTAGTCAGGTTGACAAAATTAATCACAGATTAGCAGAAATTAAAAGGTAGGTATTGACATCCTATAAACTATTAAATAGTAGAACCAGGATTCAGATACTGGAATTCTGACTCCAGAAACTCTCTACCAACCTTGCTCCATATAGACATCCAAAACTGGGCTAAGAAATGATTTACTTCTGCATGAGACTGGTTGTTCAGGGAACTAAGCACTCAGACAAAAAATAAAGATGTCTGAGATTACCCAGACATCTTCTATTCTCATATCCATTACATGTAAGTGAAAATTTATCCTATGGTTTTATTTTTGTAAAAAATGTACACCTCTCTATTATGTATATATGCCAAGCTATTGTACGCTAAAATACAGTTTAATGTTTAGATATACATACTTTTAAAAGTTGCACATTCTTTGTTTTAAATTCTGAATACAATCCATATCCATCTTGTTACTTCTGTGAATAAGTTAAGAAACTTATTTAAAAATCAGCATTATCTGTTATGCTGATCAGACATTGCCGAGTGGTAAGAATACAGAAGAAAACACAATGCATTCTCTCCCTTCAAAGAACTCATGGTTCAATAGGGGACTCAAACAAACAATTAAAATCTAGTGGGATGATTGCTATTATTGCTGTGTTTACATGGTGCTGCGAGACCATAGCTATTAGAGCTGACTCTGCCTAAAATGGATGATGGGTGAGCAGGAAAGGTTGCACACCCGTCATCTTGCAGATACTAAGCTGAGGGTTGAAACACATTGAAGATAAGAACACATGCTGATGAAATGGGGGGGGGAATGCTCATCAGTATTAGTGGGAGTATAAATTAGTAAAACCCCTGTGGAGAATAGTATGGAAGTTCCTCAAAAAGTAAAAATAGGCCCACTATATGATTCAGCTCTCCAGCTATCCAATGTAAACAAAACCAGCATATGAAAGAGATACCTGCCATGTTACATTCAGCACTACACATAATGGCCAAGGCATGGAACTGATGAATGAATTGATAAAGAAAATGGTATGAACTGATGAATGAATGGATAAAGAAAATGTGGTATATATTTCTAAAGAAATATTATTCAGCTGTAAAGAAGACCGAAGTCCTGTCATTTGCAGTTAAATGCATGGAACTGAGGACAGTAGGTTGTGAAAAAAATTAAACAAGAAGGCAAGTAGCACATATCCTCTCTCACTGTGGAAGTTAACAGAAACATCCAGGCATGGTGGGACATGCCTATACTCTCAGCAACTTGGAAGACCAAGGCAGGAAGATCCTAAACTGGAGGTCAAACCGGGTACCTTCTAAGACTTTGTCTCACAATATAAAAAGCTAAAAATGTACTTCATGGGTTCAATACCCAGTATCCTTCCACTTACACACAAAAAGTAGACCTGAATGTAGATAGTGTTAATAGAGGTTGGGAAGAATTGTTGGGGGGTGATGAGTATACGTTGGCTTTGATCAGTACATATCATATACATGTATTGAAATGACTCATCTAATCCCATTAATATATACACATAGAATGCATGTTAATGAAAAAAAGAAAGTCCTTATAGAACTTACCATCCATAAAAAATGAGGAAGAAGTTGTGAGAAGGAAGCGTTGTTAGTGAAATTCCTGGCAAAAGAATAATAAATATATGCTAAGATGTAAAGACATGACTTCCTAATAAAACTCAAAAAGATTTCATTGTACCAAGGAGAGGGGAAGAAGGTAAAAATAAAAAGATAAGGAGGAAACAAAGCACGAATGTCCCTAAATGGATAAATTCATGGTGCACTGCAGGAGGTTAAGAGCAGTTGGAGTATTTCACAGTGAGAGTAATTTAATCAAATTCCTATTTTATAAGGATAATCCTAGCATCTGAGTGGAACTGGATTATAGGGACCCTAGGTAGGAAGGAGACAAATCAGAGAATCTATATATCTATATCTATTCTCTATCTCTATCTCTATCTCTATCTCTATCTCTATCTCTGTCTCTATCTCTATCTCTGTCTCTGTCTCTGTCTCTATCTCTGTATCTATATTTGGGATTAAGGTGTTAGACTAAGGCATGAATATTGGAAGAAAATTTCAAGACATGATCTAGGAACAGAATTAATGAAATCTAATGTCTAGAGAACCAGAGAAGCCTACCAATGAAAGCTACAAATGATTTTTGAGCTTTTACTTTGGGTATCTGGGTAATTAGTGACTCCAATAATAAAGATGAAGAAATTAATTAAAAACTATAAAATAAGGAGCAAGTGGGGTAGCTTCAGGTAGGGAAAAAATGCCATTGTGTACACATTAAGTTTGAAATTATGGCTAGATATTACAGAAAGCAGTTAGCTACATGGATGTGGAGCTCCGGAAACCAGAACTGAGGTGTACTTATAACACATTATCAAGAGTATTAAAGACGGTGAAAGACTTGGATTACTCAGGGAGAGTGTTTGGAAATTTTAGAGGGAGGGAAGGGTGCTGCCTGGGGTACACTGACATTTAAAGATAGTTGAACAAAGGACCCAGTGGAGGAGACTGATAAGTAAAGAGCATGATTTTAAAGACAAGGGAAGGGAGGCATTCAGAGAGGTAGACAATAATACTAACTGTGGCAGAGAAGTGAGGTAAAGCAAAAAAGAGGAGTGCTTGGATCTAGCACCTTGACGACTCTGCTTCCAAGGGTGAGGGGACGGAGTGTAGAAAGCCAGGCAAATAGTTGTAGGTCTTAGGCCATGTTGTGCTACTACCACAGAGTACCAAAGATTATTTACAAGTAACAGAAACGGATTGGCTCACAGGTGTGGAGGCTGGGAGTTCAAGATCCAGGCAGGGCTGGCAACTCTGACATCACACGGGACCGCAGGTGCTGTGCCTCTGGAGGGCAGCTGCACTTCGTCTTCATGGGGCAGGAAGCAGAAGAACAAAAGACCCATTTCTTAATACTGCCACAATGGCAATTAAATTCCATCCTCAGTTCCAGTGGAGACAAACATCCAAACTATAGTGCTTTGCTGTGAAGGAAAAAAGATGGGTTAACGGGAGGAGTTTTCAGAACAGAAGGCTAACTTTCCTTTTTCTTTTATGGTTTGCTGCGTTGTTGCTTTTACTCTGGTAGGGAAGAACTGAGTAAAATTATATACAGACAGGGTAAAGTCATAGGAAGCAAGTTCCTAATGGGGTATGAGAAAATTCACAGAGCAAGAACAAAAGACAGATGATGGATTTTAAAGCATTGCTAAGAGGGAATAGCTCACTTATTCTGGAACCTGGATCTACATTAGAAGCATCTGAAGAACTTTAACAAAATGTCAGGGCTGAAACCCATCCTACTCCACTGAAATCGGGATCTTTGTGAGTGGGGCCAGGTTATCAATATGCTTTTAAAGTTCCCCAGAGGAATTCAACTAACAGTCAGAATTCTCTATAACAAAGAAGACACATATTACCTTACGAGAAATGTTAACAAGCGAGAAATATTTTCAAGTCTAGAATATCACGAGAGGAGCTTGAAATGGTGCTCCCCCAGTTCCAGAAACTTGCCAGGCCTTCATTTTTCATATTTCTTTCTGGCATCTGACAAATTGCAGAAATAAAATATGGAGGCTTTAAAAGGGGTCCAGACCAGCATGACAGGGGTGACCAAAAAGGTTGAAATGTTAGCCCTCTAAGGCCCGTGTTTTAATGAGTTGAGTGAATTTTGCCAGAAGAGAAGGCTGGAGTGACACTTAATTACAGTCATTGAAGAGCGATCAGATTTTGTTCAAGGAAGGAGGAACATCTGTTCACAGTATTTGCTGAGGCCAGGACAGAGGAAAATGACTTATAATTCAGCAAGATGCTAATTAAAGATGAAGAAAATCTCTCTGATCTCTCTCTCTCTCTCTCTCTCTCACACACACACACACACACACATATGTAAAACGTGTAGATATATGTTTTGAGATGATACAAAATGTCTAAGCTAGGTGTGGTGGTGCACACCTGTACTCCCTGCACTCAGGAAGCTGAGGCAAGAGGATCATCGTGAGTTTGAGGCCAGCTGGGGCTACACAGTGAGACCCCATCTCAAAAAAAAAAAAAAAGTCCAAAGGGGATATTTTATTTAGAAAATGTGGGTAATATTGTCATGGAAATGGATTATATGAATTTTAGGGACCTTTTTGATCTTCAGTAAAACTTTTATATTGATATTATCTCATAAACTTCCTATGATTTCTGTGAGGTATAAATGAGACAGCTATAACTTTTGGACACTCTTCTACCAAGTCTCTCTCTCTCTCTCTCTCTCTCTCTCTCTCTCTCTCTCTCTCTCACACACACACACACACACACACACACACACACATTTAAACATAAAAGCAAAAGGCCAATGCTTTGAATTTACACTAGTTATGAATATTTGCCTCCAGACAGCAGAACATGTGATTCCAGGAACTCCACAAACAGGACTTTTCACATAATAAGACCACTAGAGATAAGTAGCTGTTGGTGTTGATTCAATAACTTGACAACGACAAGGCCAGAAACCTTGTAATTCATTTGTCATTCATCCTTTTGCCTTGTGCCCATTACTGAATGTTATGTCAGGGCCATTCCCCCTCTTGGCATCACTCCACATCCAAGGCTACTGTCAGATGAGAGAAGGCAAAGGGCTATGTGGCCCACACATTTTCTATTTTATTAAGAAGGCAAAAGCTGCCTTGAAATCTCCCTCAGTGGATTCTACTGAGGGCTCCTTGGTAGAGAGCTAGCTGCTTATTGAACATGCATTCTCCCAGGGTCCCTAGTAAGAACCCAGTTTTGCTTGGGGTGTCACTATACTCAGGTAGCAGACTACGCTTCTCAGCTTTCCTGTAATGAGGGGCTGCTGCTGCCATGGCTCGGGTGTGGCTTTCTGGAAAATTCCCTAGGAGCTGGCCGGAATGTAGCTTTTTTTGTCCTTCTCTTTTAATTTCCTGTACCTGGCTGCCCATCAGGGCCGGGACCCCAGCAGATTTGTTTCTTCAACCACACACAGTGCTAGATCACCACCTGTTAAGGCTGATATCTACTGTAGATGTCCCCGAAAGTCTCCTATGCTCTTAGGTGGGGTGTATAGGAGGTGTCTGGGTCATGGATGTGTGATACTGGATCATGGGTGTGATAGCTGGATTAGCCCACTGATTGGCTGAACACTGGAAGCCCCATCCTAGGTGTGTGTGGCACCAAATGATAAGCATGCAGTCTGTACGGAATAAAAGGGAAAGTCAAAGAAATGCTGTCTTCTGCCTGCACTCCATGGACTGTTTCCCCTCTGTTATGCCTCTCTGCCACATTGCTTTGCTTTGGAGCCAGCTGACTATGGACTGAAATCTCTATACACTCTGTACATGCTACACACTGTGAAATGAAGTAACTTCTCCTCTTTACCTTGTGGGTATAGGATATTTCACCCAACAGTGAGAAAAGAGACTAAGACTCTACCTTCTGATCCCTTCCACTTCCTGGCAGAACACGGGAAGAAATAGCTCCTGGAGAAACCCTATCCCAAAGGAAAGTAGAAAAAAGATGGTCCTGGATTACACAGTTCCAGTTTCTCACTCCACACTCACCACCCTGCGTGGTGAGTATGAGGCCAGGAGTAACCCTCTAGTGAGTTCCCTCACAGGGAGCAGCTACCAAGTGCAGAGAAGCAGTATACATTCACCAATCTTCCTTAGTTTTCTATTTCTTTCAAGCCCACTGAATTTAACTACCTGTGAGAAGGAAGTCAGTGACTTTTTGGGACAGCCTTGGTTTTTGCATTGTCTCTTTCTATAGCCTTCTAGGATCCCAGATGAATATCTATAGTTTCCCTTCAAAGAAGTTTGAAATGAATCAGAACAAATCATTAATGAAATTAACTCTAAGTCCACACTCTAAGACAGGAAACTCATTCCCCTTCTGTACAACCAGCCACCTCTATCTGCAAGCTCTACAGACACGGGCCACACACTTAACATGTTTTAGGATTAGGATGGTACTAAACAGGTACAAACTTTTTCTTGTCATTATTTCCTGAACAATACAGCATGACAACCATTTACACAGCATTTAAATTGTATTAGGCATTCTAAGTAATCAAGACAATGTGTGTGTACCATTTTGCACAAAGGGCTCGAGCATCTGAGAATTTGATATCTGCAAGAAAGATCTAGAAGCACTTCTCCTCCAAGGGAAGACTATATTCTATTTCCTATTCTGTTAGCTGTCCCACATCACATCCAGCCTCATGTTCAAACAGACTTTCTCAAAATCTGCATGAGATTGGCTGACAATATCACTCTTTAATGAGAAAGTGTTAACCAAAGAATATAACTTACCTCCCATTATTACAACCATAGGGCATAATTCATGCTGATAAGGTAATTTCCATTTTCCATGTAGCATTTAAGTAACATCTGAGGCATTGCTACATTTATTCAAAGTCAAGTAATTTGCAGGGATGACTACCAAGGAGCTGGATCCTGTCTGAGGTTCTATTGCTATTCATTTTGCTTCATATGCCTTCATTTTTAGAGCACCTATGCTTCTGGGCAGGGTTGACCTGGGGATGGGCTCTGCCCCGTGGCCTGAATGCCATGATCTCTTTGGGATGTCTTCTAGTCACATGCTGTATGACTGAGGCCGTAGCTTTTCCTAAAGAGTTGCTTAAACTTGTTAAACCTACTCGCTGTGAAATAGTTTTTCACACCCTCCACTTCTGTTTCCAGTGGTGAAGCTGCTGTGGATAATTTCAAAGTTTTGGAACTTAGCAAAGACTAGAATTTTTTTGCTGTTTTAGCCCAATATGTGAGAGTCCAAGAGCATTTTCTTCTTTGCTACTTTCCTACAGGAGTGGGATACAGCTCTGCTGTTTCTCTTTTTCCTTTTGGAATCATTTCCCGTCTTTATAACACTTTAACAGCTTTATCTTCCCTTTTCTTCCTCTGAAACTCTCAAGACTCCACATCTCCTTGGAAGTCATCCATCACATTTTCAGTATTTAAAAAACCTTCAGCCTTTGGATAAGCTGCATATTCAAGGCCATTCGTTCACTATCTGCTCCTTGGCTATGAAAGCAGACTGGATTTGGGCAGTGGCTCTAGCACTGTCTACCTAGGCTTGGCATTAATAATTTAGAGGTAAAATTTCCCTAGTGTTTCAGCACACCTAGAATGTAGCTACCTTGAAATTTAAAATAGAAGTTATTCTATTTCTATCCACAAATGCCTAAAACACTTATGTATGAAAAGGTTTTCTTTATTCTCAAGTGGAATTCTTAGCTACAACTGCTTAGAGAAATTATACCTTCTAGTTTAAGGTCAAGCTGCAGTGACCAGCACGCCATGACACATGATACTTTTGGCGGGGCAGTTCCACAGTTCTCCAAAGCTCTAGTAAATACAAAGCTCTATAGAAAAGCAGCTCATTGTGGACAAAGCTGCCACAAGCAGATGTGAACCACCTAGGTAAAAACCCCCACAGGGCTGTGACTAAGGCCTAACCTACAAATCTTGACAAAGACAGATAAAGCTAAGTAAGTGCAGAGTTGTAAGAAAAAGTCTATGGATTCATGGCGGCTTCTTTAGGTCATCAGGGTCAAGCCTATGTTCTTACTGAAGTCCAAATTCCTATGTCCTGGCTTAAACTAAAAACTCATGCCATGTTATTTCAGCCTAGTTCTCAGATTTCTGGCTCAATACGATAGATGTAAAACAAAATATTTTACCCCCTGCCCGAATATTGAGCTGAATGAAAAAAAGAAAAGAAGTAGGCATATGGTAAGCATGTGTCCGTTTTGTCATTGATAAAGCTGTTATTTCACATATGACATATACCTGTGGGCATCTGGGGATTCTAATGAGTTGGCTGTTCCTCTGCAGTTCCTGCCTCTGAACTGTAGGGGGCAGACTTCCACCAACAGGCTGCAGGACCAAAGCAAATTCTTGAGTCCTGGGGCAGCCAGAATCCAAAGGAAACAAAGAGAAAGGGCTCGGTGCCGTACCATCCC